TGGACTTCAACTCCCAGATGCTGGCTGGGGAATTCTGGGAGTTGAAGTCCACACGTCTTAAAGCGGCCAAGGTTGAGAAATCCTGCTTTAGAGCAAACTAGGGATTGAGATCGTTTTCCTGCAAGTGAGCAGCGAGCAGAGAGTAACAGGGCACGGGGTGAAAGATGGCCCAGCTGTCTTTTGGGTTTTCTGCACCAGGGCAGCAGGTCCAATTCAATTCACTGTCCTCCTCCTCCTGCCTCTCTTTGTCTCCAAACCAGGTTCTCGTCTGGAAGGAAAGCTGCTTTCATCCAAAGATCCCCCTTTGGACGTGGGCCTATCGTCAGCCGGCAAACCAGCTGAACCGTGTCCTCTCCCTGCCCCTCCCTGCCCTCAAAACGGGGTGGATTCTGCCAAGAGCTCCCCTGCTCCTCCCGTGGACACGCCGCTGCCCCCAAGGGGGGCTGTTCTACCCAAACCACATCGCCTGAAAAGCAGCTGCTACACCAGTGACAGTGAAAGGGAGGTGGGACTCAGTCCGAGGACTGGGGAGCATTCTTCGGGCCCTAACCGTGACAGCTTGGAGACCGAAGCTCTTTCAAGGACGGCCGGGCCAGATCCTAGCTCTCCGCCACAGTTAGGGGGGACCCTTGCTCCTGCCCGACCGAGTCTCAAGGAGTCACACGGCCTGCCCCCCCTGGTGACGGCAAAGTCCAAAGGAAGGGAGATGTCGTCAGCGCCCACCAGAGACCTTGCCCTGAAAACTTTGGGGGCGAGCGAGGCCCTGCAGACTGACGCAGAGATCTCTGGAACCGGCAGCATGCACACCCTGGCCACTAATCAAACAGGAAAAGCGGTCTCAGGAGCGAGTGACCATTCACAAAAGGAGGATCAGTCGGTGCCCGTAGCGGTCAGCGGGGATCGCAGTGGCCCGGTCCTAGGAGAAGACCTGCAGCCGAGAACAGTCGAACCCACTGTGTGTGCCAAGAACATCAAGGTCAGCTCCACAGGGGAGAAGGTGGTCTTGTGGACCAGGTATGTATTCTTCCCTGCTGCTCAGATGCTCATCCTAGAGGAGAGTCATTCTCTGGGAGCGTAGAAGTAGGCTGGCTTTAGAATCCCCTTGGCTTCAAACTCAGGCTCGGCGTCTGCCCTCCGATAATCGGGCCTTCGAATTCTGCAGAGCGCCTTACGTTGGTGGACAGAGGGAAAGTCGTAGCAAAAATACCCAGGCGTGACTTCTCATCGGCATCCTCAGACTCGCACGCAGATAAGACCGGGAAGGGAAAGTTGTTGGTCTGGGGAGGACAAGCAGGCTGTTAAGACGCAGAAGGAACGGTATGCGTTGCTGTCTTCCTCTGACGCAGACTTTCACTCCCAGAACTAATTGCGGGCTGCGGTGCAATAAAAGCAAGCAGCTTGACAGTATGTATAACATGTCCCAATCTGCCAGCTAACAAATGAACCTGACAAATTCTACGTGAAGTGTTATGCGTCTGCGACCCCCTGAAGGTGCTGAACCAGAACTCCCAGCAGTCCTTGCTGGGGCACCACAAGAGATGCTGGGAGATGTAGTTTGGCAACACTGGCAGGCTTGCCTGTCGCTCACTGTGGTTTGCCCACAAGACGTTAAGCTCTAAGCCGATAGAGTCACCAGGGTTGGCTGGCTTCACACAACCCACTCAACTACAGGGCGGCCTGAAACCAACCTAAACCGGCGTGTGGGTTTTTGTGGGTTTATGAAATCTGGCTGAGCTCCCTTCCTACAACCGCACTCTTCCTCTTACAGGGAGGCCGACCGCGTTATTCTGACCACCTGCCAGGAGCGAGGGGCTCATCCACAGACATTCAGCGCCATCTCTGAACAGCTGCGCAACAAGACCCCAGATGAGGTGGGCCTTCCTTCTCCTGATGCTCTCCGGTCCCACCCTGATCTGGGTCAAATGGGTCTCTGGGAGTTGCTCAGCAGTGTAGTGAATCTGGAAAGAGCCAGAAACGAACTTAGAGGATCCCTGAAGTCCCTTGGAAGGAACCATAGGGTGCCAGACACTGCAAATTGCTTGCTGGTAGAATGCAAAAAAAAAAAAAACCCAAAACCCAAAGTTCAAAATCTGGACCGAGTGGAAAGATGACCTGTGATTTAGAAGTAATGC